AATGTCAAAAATATTGGCCAGCTGCATACTGATCACGTGTCAATGCTTTGCCCATACCCACAATGTGCCTTTTCCAGGGAAGGAGGCCAATTCACACCTAATACAATGACCGTTTCCAGACCAAGGATAGAGGGACTGTGCCCTGTCCCTGTATATTGTGTTCACCAATGACTATAAATCAGGCCCTGACCCTGTATATTGCAAATATCTATTACCTGTTGTGCTACCGTGGCAATAAGTAGATCCTCCGTAAACATCAAAGTTCTCTGCATACCATCTAGAAAAGAGATCCAGTAACATCTACCATCAACTGTATCCACTTCACCAATACCATCCTTTAGAATGTGATTTAAGGGAAAAAATGTTTATTTATCAAATAATTGAGCGTATTTTTGATGTTGTGTATTCTCTGTCTCTCACAACTGTTAGTGGTCAAAGATGATAGAAACATGATACAGGGTCAATGACACTTTTCAAACCTTGACTGATTTCTGCTGCTGGTGGCATGGTCCAGAACCAGTCATTGCCACAGGTGACATTTTACACCTCAATTCGATTGATTACGTGTTTGTTTTCAAATATGCTATATTATTTATAGTTTTGTTTTTATATATATTTTATATCAAATCAAAATTCAGCAAATTTGATAAATAGCCATGGAAACGCTGCCAAACTCAAACAAGTATGCCCGCTCTTGAGTACAATGGTGTGAAGAAGCTGTACCAGTGCTTTCTGTGGAACATTCAGTGTTAGAATTGAGGAAATGGGATTAACAGTGTAATTCTGTTGAAAAGGTACCAATAAATTACAGAAAACAAATCAAAACAAAAATTTTCTGGTTAATGAGGTCAAAATGATCTGTTCGTCTTTCTACTGTTTTTGAGTATCACATTAAATGTTCAAGCATTCACTGTACAGGCACATTAGGAATACAAAAATATTCAAATTTGCCTGTGGTGTTATTGGTGCTTTCCATGGAACATCCAGGCTAAGAAATATGTGAATGTGATTAGCAATGTAATTCTGTCAAAACAATACAAATAAAGCGTAGAAAACAGGGCAGAATAAATGTTTTCTGGTTAAGTAAGGTCATAGCGATATATTGTTTTTTTAAGAGTTTTTGAGTAGCACTGGAGATACATGTACATGTATCCAAGTGTATACCATTTAAAAATGCAAGAATATTTAAATTTGCCTGTTGAATAAGCTGCAATAAAGCGTCATTTTAGTACTCATAATCACGTGAAGAGTCAGTAAATAAATATCTGAATATACATGTATACCAAAAGACATACCGTTATCAAAGCATCCCTCTTGGTTGTTTTGTCAATGGCCCATGACAGTTCTTTCTTCCCACAGGGGTCTTGCCATGTATACAGAACAGCCTCTTTTGGACCAATTGCCTTTGTTGTAACATGGCCCCTACATATGCATAACAATTACAATGATATTTTGTACTGTTTATTATTCGGTATGTCTATTCAATTCAATGCAACAACAAATCATGTGACTTTCAAGCGTCTGGCATCATAACATTTGGTGCTCTACACTATGTAACACACAGTTTCTCTGGAAAGTATGTGCTTTCTGTGTATAATGTGGCAAAAATGTTTAAAGGGGGATCAATACTATAAATAGGGGCAAGATGGCCACCGCAATGAGTATGCTAATCCGAACCAAGCCAAGAATTAAACGTTCCAAAAAAGTTTATATTCAAGATTTTCTCAAATATCTTTTTTTTTTCCAACATCCCTAACTCTTGCCTGATTACTACACAGTAATGAGCAATGCAACATTCCTTGTTATTGTACGATGACTTTGCTACTTACGATTGTTTATATTGCACCATAGTGTCAGTACAATGATTTATTATCTGAACTGTGGCAGCGCCTCTATGATAGGCATTTAGTGAGATAATGTTCGACCAATCACTGACGTTGATTAACACACCAACACCACCAACCTGTACAACAAAATAATACAAACAGAGACTTCAAGTTTTACTACTAGATCTTTCCTGAAGGTATTGGGGTTGTGGGACAATGATGTGAAAAATTATTGTTATTTTTTACATACATACATGCATTAACGATAACGTATCCAGTTCATGACCTACCTTTGGGTCATCTACTTGAAGTAACACACTCCCAGGCTTAGTGAATACAAATGGATCTGAGACAACATCAGATTCCAATTTTTTCAATCGTAATTTGGGTTCCTTCTTGTTCTTTGATACCGGCCATAACGGAACACACTGTGTGGAATAAATAAACATGATCTGATGAGAACGCTGTGAGTATGCGTCTCTAGGGAAGTGCCTTTGCAGGAAACGGCTACATAGAATGAACACAACGTGTTTTTTAGGACCAGCGAAATACTGTGAATCACTTATTAATCAATGTGATTCACCACCACCTTGAGGCTGATTAACGCAGTTAAATGAAAGTTTTTGAAAATTGCTGATACAAATTGCTTAATATTGCTATACTAAGTCATATGTAGGAAAAAATGGAGATTTGGACTGAATCGTTTGTCGATAATTTAATAATATGTTATTATTGTAAGATTCATCAAACGATTGTTCATTCCCTTTGAGTTGTCAGATTTTTTCAACTTTTAAGACGATTTGATGTCTTTTTGATGGCTACATGTATATGAATAGTAGGCGCAAGCTTGCGACGTCCATATCGGTGCTGTTTCATACCCTGTCTATGTATGAACACAGAAACGTACAGACGATTCAAATCATTCAATCCAATATCAAAATTTACCATCATATATGAGTGAACACTTATAATATCAAGGCTAGTATTTAAGGTCTTAGAATGGATGCTGAGCAACACATGCTCTCATTCCCCATTCATGATCAACAAAAGTTCTAAGTTTTATTTATCCCTAATGGTTGATATGTCCTACACAGAACATTTATTGCAGTCTACACATAGTAGCACTTTTGTCAACATATTTTGAACATAGATTTTCTCTATGAAGTACTAATTTGATTTACCGGTAATCAGGAATAATTTTAATTAGTTCACAAACTCTATACTGACCTCTCCTGGAGGTATCTCACGCCATTCATCGGTCTCCTCTTCAGACACTGACATTGCAAACTCGGCATGATTCACTACAAGGTACATTGGCGTGAACGTCACAACTTTAGTCAGTGCTGCGTGTGTCAGGTGTATCTTGACTCCAATCTGATAGACAAAATCATATTGTTAAAATGTGCTTATATTGGTAAAAACATAAATCTTGATAACAAAAGAAGTTGGAAAGTTGAATTGTAGTGTGAGACATGTACATTGTCATCTATAGAGAGTTTAATTGTAGTTCGATATATAAACCCTGTCTAAGACTATCACAGTTGTATGTTGAATCTGTTATAAGGAACCGTAAACAAAATATTACATTTTTATTCAGTCCTCAGTTAAATCAACTTCAGTATAAACAAGCCATGCACAGTAAACAGCCAAGAAATGGTTGATTTTTAGGATTTTTTAACACAAAAATGGCCGCCATTCGGCCATCTTGAATCAGATTGTATAAATGATGTGCATCAAGGTCCTATAATGTTTAATGTATATACCAAGTTTGAACAAAATCCATCTGTAAACAGCCGAGAAATGCTTGATTTTGATGATTTTTAGCACAAAAATGGCTGCCATTCGGCCATCTTGAATCAGATCGTGAAACAAATTAACGTGCACATGTATAATATCATGTATGATGTGTGTATGAAGTTTGATTGTGATTGGTCCAGGCATTTCTAAGATACAGGTTCGGACGCACGCACAGACGCACGCACACACAGAGGTCAAAACATAAGTCCCATAAGTTTGGACTGCGTCCAAACGGGGACTAAAAAAGTTGATCAAAAACCAAATTCTCAATACCCTTACCTCGTAGTTCATTTCCTTTGTCTTGCAGGTTATTGCACCAGAACTACCCACTGTATCCAGAGAGAACTTGTTCGACCAATCAGAGTCTAAGACTTTGAGAGATGCCTTGGAGAAATAAAAAAATTCTTGATGTATAGTGTGGAATGGGGTGGGTGTGTCCATATGTCACTTCACATGGGAGACGACAAAAAGAGATGGAGAATGTTGTTAAATGATCAGAAAAGTATAAAGTTTATCATTTTGAAGTACTAACTGTTACTAACCATTTTCTTCCCTAGTAACTGTTTATGAAATGCAAATAACACTGGTTCCTCCATGCTCTCTGGATGAAAAGTGATATTCTTATCATCAGTACCCTGGTTAAAGAAGAAAACAAATTAACAACTTGATTTTCTATTCATATTAATGAAAGTCATCAAATCTCTAATACAACACGTTATGAGAAGTGTACAGCTTGCAACTTACATTTATAAGACGAAACAAATGCATGCGGTGAGAAAACTAAGTTAAGCATGCTGGATATATCTAATGGCTATCTTAATTTAATGGATAAAGCTAAGTATTGTGCTTCATGTCATCAATGTGTTTTATTAACATAGGAATGCCAGCAAGTGACTTCGAGCGACTTCGAGGTGAAGCCTCAGCCCCTAACTGGAGCCAAGCGAGAGAGCATATGCGGTGTACCACCAACAATCAAAATATTCTCACGAGAAAAGATTCACTGTGGAGGAGGAGGGTCAAAATTTATATTAATTTTGGTAATTCATTTTTATTTTATCTTCTAGCAATGAATGAGAAGCATGAATGAATTTGTTTTGATGCTAAATTATGC